ATCATCAAAATAATTGTAAGCATTTATTGTGCACCCACTGTGTGCTAGGCAAAGTGCCAAGAACTTCAATTATGCCATTGCATGTAGTCTCCACAGCAACTCTTTGACATTGAAAATATCTTTTCATTTTAAAGAGAAAGCAAGAGGCTTATTGCTTTCCTCCAGTATGATTTTCCTTCGTGCTGAAGAACTTCTGCTTCTTTTTAGAGGAGAACTTCAGTTGCAGGTGACAGATTCTCTTAGTTTTCCTTCATCTGAGAATGTCTTTTTTTTTTTTTTTTTTTTTCCAGACTTAGAATTCTAGGTTGACAGCACTTAAAAATGTCAATCTACTCTCATCTGTCTTTCATGGTTTCTAGTGAGAAATCTGTGGTCATTTGACTTGCTGTTCTCCTATATGTAATATGTTACTTTATGTATTATAGCTTAAAATATTATTTTCTAATATCCTTTTCTCTTTATTCTTCAGATTGGATCCTTTCTATTATTTTGTCTTCAAGTTATTAACTCTTTCTTTTGTCCTCTCCTTTTGTCATGGAGCGTATCAATAATTAAGAAATTTTTAATGTAGTATTTTTCAGTTGTAAAATTTCCATTTGGTCCTATTTTTATAGTTTCTTTGTTCTGCTAAGAAACTTTCATTCATTTCCAACGTGTTTTCCGTTATCTTCTGGAACAGAGTTACACTTGAGCTTTAAGGTCTTTGTGTGATAATTCCAACATCTGTGGCATCTTAGGCCTGGCATCTGTTGATTTTCTTTTCCCTTCAGAATTGGCTACATTTTCCTGGTTCCTTGAATGTCAAAATAATTTTAGCTCATATCCTGGACATTTAAAATATTCTGATGTATAGATTCTTGTCCTGCCAAACCCTCTGGAGGATTTTAAGTTGTGTTTTGTTTTAGTATAGAATCAGCCTAGTCAGGTTCTGACTGCAAGTTCTGTCTCTCCTACATGGGAAGTGGTTCCATACGTGGTTTATTTTCCCAAGCCTTTGTTTACTGCTTTGTGTCTGTCCTGTGTATATGGTGCTTAGAGGTGTGCCTGAAACTGGGGCAGTGGTTTAAATCTTACCTCAGTTCTCCAAACCTTTGACCTGCTGCTTTGTGTCTCTTGTGTGTGCAGGTCAAGGGAGAGCCCAGGATGGAGAGGACTTACACACAGAGAAATCTCTTCCTCCTCCCCCTGCTTCCCTCTTTACTGGGTCTTTTTTCCTGGTTCCCTCAGCCACAAAGAGCAGGTTTCTCTTGGAGGTTGCTGCCCAGGTCATTGCTGCTGCACAGCTCCATGACTGGCAGCTGCTCTTTGGGCAAAGCCAGAGAGAAAAGAGAAACACATGAGCATCCCCCTTCCCTATTTTCCAGCCCTCAGGGGCCCCTTTTCCTGCTTTCTCTGGTTAGAAAGATGGGATTTCTACTGGAGATTTAGCTGGTCATGCTGATGGTTCACAGCCCCACAGCTGGGGCCCACCCTCAGCTCAGAGCCATGTGAGCAGAAGGGAAAAATACACAGGTCACTTCTGCAAGCTTTGTCGCCCAGCCATGATCTACCTACTTTTGTTTACTTTTTCTAGTCCTCTGAAAGTTTATTTTCAGACAATTTCATTCAGAGTTTGTTGTTGTTGTTGTCATCATTAGTGGGAGAGACAGGCTATTATAGGCTTACTCCATCATGGATGAAACTGGAAGTCAACTTAGTTTTTACAGGATCACCCGGGCTAATTTTTTTTGAGAATAGACTGAAGGAGGCGAGAGAAGCAGGGAGCCAGCTAGGAGGCTACTGGGGTTGTCTAAGCAAAAGTCACAGAAGCTCAGGCCTCAGTGGTCGTCATGGAGGTGGGGGAAACAGTTGGATTCTGGAGATTATCTGAAGGTTAAGCTGATACAATTTGTGATGAACTAAATATAGGGATGCTAGAGAAATAGAGAGGTTAAAAATGATTCCAAGATTTAATTTTTTTAAATTTTTTTTTTTTTTTTGCTTAAGCAACTGAATGCACTTGCCATTAATATGGAAGGAGCAGCACGGAGGGGAAGAAGGAAGATGAGTTTGTTTTGGGACATGGTTAGTGTGAGATGCCCATTCGATATGCAACTGTAGATGTCAGAGCGACCTGTAAATACCAGCGTGTAGTGAACGGGAGGTCTGGATTGCAGACATAAACTCAGGAGTTATTGGCATATGGATGGCATTTAAAGCCACAAGACTGGGTGAGGCCACTTATGGGCTGGGATAGAGAGAGAGGAGGCCTGGTGGCTGGCGCCTGAGGAGTCCCAGTGCTGACTTGTTTGACTGGGAGGTTGGAAGCTACGCTGCCTCAGTGGCACATGTTAGTCAGGGTCCAATCAAGAGATAGTGGCACACTGTAACTTGAACAGAGGAAGTTCAACATAAACAATGCTGCGGTGGGAGCCATGAGGGAAAAGGAGTATAGAAATGACTAATGTAAGGACTAGCAACTAGGGCTGTGATAGAGGCCCCGAGGGAAAGCCATGGCTGAGATCCAGACCTCGGTGGAGAGGGCACAGCCACTGCTCGCTGGGTTCCAGAGAAGTCACTGTGGTGCCCCACCAATGGGACTTGCTGGGAACCTTCTATCCAGAACCCCATGCCCTTTAGGGTGCTGAGGAGAGCTTCCACAAGGAGGTGTCTTGCTAAAGGCACTTTGCTATGTAATTGCCCAAGAAGGATGCTCAGGAAGCTCCTGGCTGCTGGCTGCTGTGCAGGGGGGATGATAGTATAGAATCTGCACTGGGGAAACGGCCGAGAAAGCACAGTGGAGGCAAAGCCCCCTACTTCTCAAGGCCTCTCCAATGTTTATGGAAATGCCTACGGACAAGGCTTAACTTCATAGCAATGGCTCTAAAGATGCCAAATCCAGTTGCACAGAGAAGGGTGAATTTGGAGCCGAAGCAATAAATTGATAACTAAATTAATAAATTGAATATGGTTGTGGCTGAGGAGAGGTGCCAAGGCCAGATGGGGACACCCTTGATGTTGCTGTCACTTGAGGGGTGCGTGTGACTGCACATGGGAGATGGGATGGGAAGTCAGGAGCCCCTGGAAGCAGGAGAACAGGAAGTGGCTGGTGAGTCCAGGGTCAGGCAGGCCTTAGGCTGTGAGCAGAACAACCTGTGAGTTCTCAGGTTGCTAGATGGAATCTGAGCATATAAAGATGGAAGATGTGCTTCCTGCTCTCTAAGGAGGATCCTCCAGGTGAGACAGAGCGGCTCCCAGTCTCTGCTGTGGGATATATGCCCTAATGGGGCTCTGTCATGACTGCACCATGGCTGACTCCTGCTCCGACCTGTAATACAGACAGATCTCCAAAATGGGCATCTCTCTCCTGTCACGGTTTTTACACATGTTGTGGCCTTCCTTCTTAGTGTGGCTAGCTCATCATCCTGGGATACCACATCTTCCAGGAAGCAGTTAATGACGCCCCAGACTGGGCTGGGCATGTAGCATTGATTCTATTCTTAACATAGCATTTAGCATATCCAGCCACAAGTGCTTGCTTGCCTGTCCATCTATCAAGTGGGACTGTAAGCTCTCTGGGGATGAGGACCAAGTCTTGTTTATTGATATTTTCCTGGCATCGGGCCTGGCAAGTTAGTAAGCCCCTATCACATGTTGCATGAACAAACAAAGGATGATAGGTTGAAAGCTGGGTGCAAGGGAAGACAGGATGGCAGGGGTGTATGAGCAGATCATTTAGGAGTTAGATGCCATGTTAGGAAGTCTGAGCTATTTGGAGGGCAGTGAGGAGCCACCAAGAACTGTAAGCCTGGTCAGTTTTCTGTGTGAGAAAGACCTCTCTAGCAGCATCACGGTGAATGAGTTGGATGAGGGTAAGAGCTGGGACAGAAAAATGAGGAGGCCCCTGCAGTGATGCAAGAGGAGTCATGGTATGTGGGGTTGGACCCAGGAACAGATGGAAGGGTTCACCTTGGTCAGGAGAGGGGCACCTCTGGGTTGCAGGGAAATGCCTGGAGAGAAGTGGGATGCTTGGCACTTGCTTTCAGAGCCTTTGCTATATGTCTTCTCTCCCTTGCTGAACTGCGAGCCCCTCCAGGGAAGGGTTTGAGCCCCCTTTTCTCAGCATCTACTCTGTCCCCAAGATACCAACCTCTGCCCAAGTCCCAGGATGGAGTCTAGGAGGCAATCTCCCCATCCCCAGCATGATCCAGAAGGAGAGGCCAGAGTCCTAGTGATGTTAGCTTGGCAAGTTTATTGAAAACCCAGGAATACAAAGAGCAGTACAAACAGGTGCCCCAACCCACCCCAGGCTCCCCCGAGCTCGCAGAATAAACTCTGCTGCAGCGAACAGGGCTGGGCCTCCCTCACACCAGCAGTTGTGTTGGGTGTAGCAGAGCTCACCCACCTCATGAGCTCAATTGCTGCACAGGTAAAGCAACAACCCAGGAAAAGAAGCAGCCAGGACTTAAGTCCCTGGAAGAAAAACCATCTCAAGGTACTAAGGGGACCCTTAGGCCATCAAGGACTGTGGATCCATCTGAGTCAGGAAACTAGGAAAACCCCTTCTCCTGCCAGGGAAAGGAAGAGGAAGGAGGCAAGGGATGGTGGCCCAGCTGCAGAATGGACAGCCAACTCTCCATTCTCCAAACTAGTCCAAAGCTGGGATGGCCATGGTGCCCAAAGACATTCATTTTGGCTTTGGACTGTGCCTATTCTCCCCAGACACAGATTTTTTGTAATTGTATCGAATCTGCATTTCTTGAAGCTGTTCAGCTGGATGGTGAGGAGTGATCCAAGGAAAGGACATTGGAAGCCATGGAGAAACACGTCTGGATGGGGTTGCTGTTGGAGCAGCTAGGCAGAGAAGAGTATCTCCCAGAGGACATAGGCCAGGCAGAGCTGTGTCCCTTTCCTGGTAGGAGGGGAAGCCCTTCCAGCCCAGAACCCAGGCACCTTGGGGACAGAAGCGGGGGACACTGAGATGATTCTTCCTAAGGCAGTGGCTGGCCGGTCATAGGCTCTCAGTACTTGGTCCGGCGGGAGGTGGTGGTAGACACAAAGCGGACACTGGAACCTCGGCTGCTGCGGCCCCCACTGCAGCTGCTGAAGCCGCCCTCAGTGGGCAGCGGGCAGGGGATGCTGGGGGCACAGGGGTTGCAAGACTCTCTCATCAGCATCGAGCCTCCCCGGGAGCCAGTGCTGAGCAGGTCCCCGCTGCCCATGATGACCTGAGCCCCACCCAGGCTGGAGCCACAGATGCCACCAGAACGGGTGCTGCTGCCAGAGAAGGTGACTCTGCTGCGGGAGAGGGTTGAGCTGGAGACCAGGGGCTCAGGCCCACACACCAGGCCACCGCGGGAGCTGCTCACGGCTGTAGGAGGGAGAGATCATCAGTGAGGCTGCATGTCCTTCCTGCTCCCTCTGAGGGGTGGGAGGCTGGCGCCCTGGGTGGAGGTGGTCCCTATTGTCTACACAGTCAATATTCACTTCTCCTTCTCTTGTCTGGTGACTCAAAGGCTGTGACTCTGATAGTCAAACATTCAGAGTAAATGGAAGGATTCAGCCAATACCCAGATGCTTGCATAGAGCCTTAGGTTGATTCTCATTTATTTCTGACCAGTCACTCTGGTTTTGCTGAGAGGATAGTGAGCTGCATTATCTAGACAGTGGGAACAGTAGCCTTTATAGACCACCTGGCTTCTGTCTTCCACTTATTCCCTGCCCTTCACTGGTTCCCACATGGCCTCTCTAATGAGTCCCTTGTCAGTTCTGCTCTGACCTCCACTCAAGCCTGACTCCTGCAGAAAGCCATCCTGGTTGCCCACCCGCCTCGGTGGGCACAGTCATCCAAGCACTTGCCACTCTAACCCACCCATTTTGCACTCAGTTCAACACCATATCTGTGCATATTGGTGCTTTTGGAGTCAGAGATCTGGCTTTGAATTCTGGTTGTGTCACCGACTATGTGACTTCTGGCAAACCACATATTTCCTCTGAGTGAGTGAAAGGGGGTTGCCAGTGCCTATTCCTCCACCCAGGGCTGCTTTGAGGGGTAGGCTGACAGTGGATAAGACTCATCTTCTCAAGAAGATTATTAATCTAGAGGCAGGGGCTGGGGCTCACCTTCTTTGTGCTTCCACCCTGCAGTGCCAATCATGGTGCCCTGCATGCAATACTTTGTCTGCAGCAGCAGCATGGGGATTTCCATTCAGCTTTGTCCTATCCCCTGCCATCAGGGGTGTAGGGAACTCCCTGGCAGATGCCTTTCGTTCCTCCCCTGGCTTTTGTCCCTGCAGGACAAGGCCACTAAAAATGAAAGGGCTGCCGTTCTTCTGGAACCCTCTCCTACCCAGGCTCTGCAAACCTTGGTGATTGCATTCTCTCAGGGAAGACCTGAGCCTGCCCTCAAGTCAGACCTCTGCTAAGGGGATGCTCTAGTCCAGGGGCCAGATGGTCCCTCTACCCTGACTGTCCTGGCCAGCCTAGCCTTGGGCTCCTGACCCCAATGTGGGCCTGAGTTTAAAGGAAATTTGAAGGGCACCAGGAGAAAAATGTGTAGAGGAAAAGACTTGAGTTTCTTACATATGTTTACTGGTCCAACACCTTCACAGATCCTGGAGAGAGAAAGAAACAAGTCAGTTAACAAGTAGCGTAGTTCTCTGAAAACCTGCTTGCTTACAGAAGGGCTTTCTTGGCTGAGTAGACCAGTAGACCAGTAGTTCATACCCAGCTGAACAGGCATCTAGAGAGCTTTGAAAATGACAAATCCTAGACCGTACCCCAAGATGATTTAATAAGCTAACCAAATCTTTTAAACGAGCTAGCCACATTAAGCAAAACTCCTTCTCTGATGCAGCCCTTGCATTTAGGAGGCATAGACTTAGAGTCACCTTCTAATCCCTCACCAGGGTCAACCCAACTAATATTTGCAGAGAAGGCTGTCTTACTCCCAGAGGTTGATATTTCAGCAGTTCATCCACCTGGTCGTTGCCTTCCTCTCCCCCACTACTTAGTCCAGATGTCCAAGTTTGACCTCATTCCCTCTTGGTGCACTGAGAGCACTCACCGGATCTCCTCGCCCTCCAGCAGGCGCCTGTAGGTGGCGATCTCAATGTCCAGGCCCAGCTTGGCGTTCATCAGCTCCTGGTACTCACGCAGCTGCCTGGCCATGTCCTGCTTGGCTTGCTGCAGGGCGCCCTCTAGATCTGCCAGCTTGCATTTGGCATCCTTGAGAGCTGCCTCACCCCGCTGTTCCGCCTCAGCCACTGCGGCCTCCAGCTTGGCCCGCTACAGGGAGGACAGTTTGATGGTGGGTTTTGGCAGAGACTAGGGGATCCCCAGGTGGGGCTGGAACACTGCCCCCTTGTTAGTGGAGACATAGCCTGGTGCAAAGTCAGGGATGGAGCCCATGTGGCTGCTTTCTTAGGGACTATGAACCTGCAGTTTGATGTCACCAGAGGCGAAGCATTGCTTTTCTTCAGTTTATAATCCACTGACTTTGCACCTTCTGATATCTGCTGCTCCAAGAGCCATGGGCTCCAGAGTGTAAAACTATTCTTTCCCCTCCACCTGCTCCTTCAAGTTGATCCCAGGCCTTTTCTCCTAAATGGGAGAACCTCCTTTCTTTCCACATTTCCCTCTCCCAGGAAGTCTTTTGGACTAATCCCTCCATTCCTCCATTTCTGGGTTCTGATGGTCTCCCCTATGTCATCAGAATTGGGGCTCCCCAAATTCAGAGCCCTGCTTCTCCTTCCTCTGGGGATTTTTCTATTTTCCTTTGCCCACCTGAGCCTTGGCGTGCTCAATCTCTGTCTTCAGCCTCTGGATCCTGCGGGTCAGCTCGTTGATCTCATCCCGTGTGTTGCGCAGGTTGTCACAGTGTTGGCCAGCTGTCACCCGCATCTCCTCATACTGTGGGGTGGAGCGGGGAGAGGGAGATGTTCTGAGGGCTCAAAGGTTGGATCAAGACCACAGCTTCAACTGAATTGGGGGTCTCACACCTCCATGGGGCCCACTTCATTGTACATGAGTCTCACCCCAAGGCTACCTACACCCCTTCCCAGTTTGCCTTTGCCCACCTTGGTCTGGTACCAGGCCTCAGCATCAGCCCGACTGCGCCTGGCAACCTCTTCATATTGGGCCTTGATTTCACTGATGATTCCATCCAAGTCCAGGTCCCGGCTGTTGTCCATCTTCACGATGACTGAGGTCTCTGAGATGTGTGATTGCAGCAGCTGGATTTCCTGTGTTGGAGGATCAGTAAGAGAGAGGGACTCAGAGTCCCATCAGTGGCCAGGATGCTGCCACAGGGTCCCCAGGGTGTGGTGTCAGGAGCAGAGAGCATTGCTCGTTCAGAGCAAAGCAGTGGGGCAGGCCATCTAAACCAAAAGTGAAGAAAAGGCATGGCCAAGAACCACTTCTGTTTGACTTTAAACTCTTGTAATGTACTCAGAGACACCCCTTTACCACCCTAACTTTTGCTTGGGTGAATATTAAAACCATGGGGGTCTAGGTTTTAGGTGCAGAGGAGTGAGAGCTATATTAGGGATACACTTTTCTTTGGATTATCCTCAAAGTGGCTGTGCCACTCATGGATTATTGAGAGCTGACAATATTTTAGAGCATGATGGTCTAGGAATTTTACACCCCAAGTCTTTAACAGAACCAGGGGACATGGAACTGGCCTGTGAGGTGAGGATTCCAGAAGGAATTTTCTTTAACATTTTCACTCAGAGCCATTCAGCTCTGACTGGGTCTGTATCAGACCAAACAGACCATTTATGAAGCAAAAGAGAGCTAGTTCATTTGGCTAATTAGGTCAAACACATTTTTTTAAAACATCTCCTTGCAAATCACTTTTCAAGAGTCTTCTGATCAATAGATTGAAAGTGATTTTCCTATACCCTAATCTGGATTGGTCAAGAAGGGGTTGTACCATAGATCCAAGAAGTTTATTCATAGATCTGAGTCAGGCTGCTGAGAATTCTAACCTTCTCCACTGGTAGATGCATTGACATATAGAGGATATAGATTTGAGTGGGAGGAAAGATGTATGACACCAAATGTTTGAAAATGTGCCAGTTCAGGGGAAGTTGCCAGGGAGTCCAGGCTAAGCACTGATCTCATATGGCTGAGAGGGGATGAGCCCTTACCTCCATGTAGAGGGTTTTCAGGAAGTCAATTTCCTGAGCTAAGGTTTCCACATTGGCCTCTAGATTAGATTTATTTAAGAAATTGGAATCCACATCCTGCATAAAAGAGAGAAGGATAAGATGCACATTACTTTGCACTGTTTAACCCCCTCACCTTGGCGCAGTCTGGGGATGAGTGGGAAGATCAGACCAGTCCCAAAGGGCCAGGCCAGGCTATGGGACGGGTGGTAAAGTCACTGGGTGGAACTGCAGCTCAGTGACTGTGGCTCTTCTCCTGCTACAGCAATACTTCCCTGGGGCTGCTGAACCTCTCCTGATGCTTATTTAGAGGCAAGAATAATCTGGATAATCCAACTCATCTGAATAATAAAAGGACATCTAAACAATTTAACCTGCCCAGGCTGGTTGCTCAATGATTAGAGTGTCAGCCCATAGACCGAAGGGTTATGGGTTCAATTCCCGGTCAAAGGTGTGTACCTCAGTTGTCCTCTGGCCCTAGTTGGGATGAGGGCAGGAGGCAGCCGATTATGTCTCTCTCACATCAATGTTTCTCTTTCTTTCTCACTCTCTCTTTCCCTCCCCTTTTCCCTCCCTCTCTCTTTTCTTCTTTCCACTTTGTTTAAATATCAATGGATTAAAAAAATAAATAATCTAACTGATCTTAAATAATCTGAGACCAAATTAGAACTTTGAAGGGACCTTGTGTGACCTTAAGGGTTTCCTCTGTGTGAGTGGTCTGAGACACCACAAAGATGCCTGGGGAGTTTCCTGAGGGATCTCAAGGACATTTGCCTGTCCGGAGGAGAAATTTACCTGGACCTGTTGCTTTCCCTTACCTTCTTCAGAGTCACAAACTCGTTCTCAATGTTGGCTCGGAGTTCTACCTCTTCTTCGTACCTAGGTGATTAGAATTTGCAAAGTGAATTCTCATTCTGAACTGAGAGCCAATGACTTCCAATTTCCCAATGAGCCTCTTAAGACCACTCTGCTCTACCCAGAAGTACAATTTCTTGTTGTCCGCTACATGTACTCAGCCACTCTGTCCTTTCTTTAAGATCTTACATGAACCAGTAGCCCCCATTTTCTCCAAATCCCTTTAACTTTCTCAAATAGGATGTGGGGCCTGAAAACCTGATCCATTTCTTTGCTCTTCTGCTAGAAAAAATTTAGAGTCATTGCACATGGCCAGGGAGGAAGTAGGACCCAACTTGTTGCTGAACATGGGCACCGTTCTTACAACCAGAGGGCTCTTTTTTTTCTGGGACTAACTCACCCATTTCCACAGTGAGGATTAGGAAAAAAACATGCCCAATTCCAAGCCTCCTTTTTCCTTAGGACCTATGGAGGGCCTTCTCCTGCTCCCTTATATATCACTGCCCCACATCTGTCTACAGACTGGGTATTGAAATCGGCATTCAACCCTGATCCATCCAGCTGTTCTCCTCTGAGCTTGGCCGCTGCGTTAGGACCAGCTCATGCCTGTCCTTGGTCAGTGCGGTCCATATGCCACTCACTTCTTCTTGAAACCTTCAAGGACATCTTGCATGTTGTTCCTCTCAGCCTCCAGACGGGCCCGGTCACTGCTGGCTGCATCCAGCTGCCTCTGTAGGTTGGTGATGTAGCACTCAAAAAGGGGCTCCAGGTTGCTCCTGGTACACTTCTGCTCTTGGAGGAAGTTCCACTTGGTCTCTAGAAGTTTATTCTGCTGTTCCAAGAACCGCACCTAAACCCACAGGGCACAAAAAGGGCAATTGAAGTACTTGACACAGTCACTTACATGACCATCAGTTCTTCAGATGGTCAGAAATGACTCTCAACACTCTGGTGACATTGTTTTCTCCTCTGTTGACATTCATTCCTCCTCTAATTCAGTAGAATATGGAAGAGAAGGCCTGTGACCCCTTCTTTGTGCTCAGCCAGGCTCAGCTACAAACAGAGGCTTTTGAACCAAAGAACCCCAGGACCATTACTTCCTTCTGTTCTATGAAAAAGGTGTAAACCAGTTCATTGGGAAGTTAGAAAGATTGATTCTGCCTGAGCTTGGGTTTGTCTGTGCCTAAAAACTGATGCCAGCCATCCTGGCAGGAAGTGAGAAGCAGGAAGTGAGGGGTAAGATATGTCATTAGGAGGTGGGAATTCTCAAGTCAGAGGTCATACCCATCATCCCAGATAGTCAATCAGCTGAGACTTATAGAGCTGGAGGAAAACCTAGGGATCATTTGCTCCAACCCCTCATTTCAGATAAGGAAAATAAAAAAACTTACAGAAGTGAGTTTCCAATCTCAAATGCAATCAGAGCATTCCCACTCCATGGAGACATGGTTTGTGGGATGTCAGTTCCACATCATTGTTCTTCTCACCAGCCTGAAGATCAGGACTACCTGTGGTGATTCCCCACTATTTCCCTCAATCTGGGCAACTGGGCTGAATCTGGATACCCTATGTGGAGGTATGAATTTTTTTTGTTTTTTACAAAAATTACTCAACTCTATTATCCAATTTCCTAAGCCTGGTCAGATGTGGCCACCCAGCCTCAGGAACTGTGAAAACTTCAAAGAGAGCATGAGGGACTCAAAAGATAAAACCTGTTAAATCTATATTAGGCAACGCCCGGCCAAAGTCTACTGTTTCCAACCAATCTGGGAGATAGTTCTAAATGACTAGATAGTAGGTCTTAGTTTGTCCAGATGCCTTCAGACTTGGCTGGAGATTCCTCTTTCCTCCAAAAGATGCAACCTCTGTGTCAGTCTAGCCCACCATGCAGCGCTCCTCAGGCCCATCCTTGCTCTACAGCAGAGTGATCCAGAAATCATACTGCAATGCCTTTGGTTGACACCTAAAGGAGTTTAGGGTCAAGGCCAATGCCTTAGGCTTGGGCTATTTCTTCTTAAGGAAAAGAATATCCGATGCATTTTAGCTTTAATCATCCCAGACCCAGAGGTTGAACTGTACCTTGTCGATGAAGGAAGCAAATTTGTTGTTGAGGGTCTTGATTTGCTCCTTCTCATCTCGCTTCACCCTCTGAGCATTGGGGTCAATCTCCAGGTTGAGAGGGGTCAACAGGCTCTGGTTAACAGTCACCGCTGTGATAGATGGGGCTGCCGGGATTCCAATTCCTCCAACTCTGTAGCCAAAGCCACCAAAGCCATAGCCAAGGCCACAGCTGGCTCCAAACCCTAGACCAGCACCACACCCACCACCAACACCAAAGCCAACTCCACAGGGGCTGGGACGAGAGCCTATAGCTGCTCTCCGGGGTGAGCATGATCCATAGTTGATGACGCTCCGACTACCAAAACTGCCAAGGCCTCGGAAGCTGGACCCACTCCTGCAGGAGAAGGAGCTGGCTCGGAACCTGTTCAGGTTCTGCGGGGCCATTGCTGAACAAGAGCTGAAGTTGCCCACACGGCGACCAGAGTTGACTTGGTAGGAGTGGCAGGACATGATGGCTTCTTGGATGAGAGCAAAGCAGCAATTGCAGAGTGTGGGGTGAGCTGGAGCTAGGAGTCCCTCTGAAGCTAGTGGATTCCTCTCACCCCTTATATGTGTGTGGGGATCTCAAGATTGGCCCCATAAAAATGATCTCAGGATTGGCCCCATAAAAATGAAAAAAAGCCATTTGGAGGCATTTATGAGCTTGGGTAGTTAGCAGAAATTCTTCATGCCTATAACTTCCTTAATAATGTGCTAGTCTCAGGCACACCTATTCTCATTAGGATTAGGGCTATAACATCAAACCTATAAATATTAAAAACGCATAAACACAAACATTATGGTCCTATTTTTCCCCGCAAGTCCACTACAATTGCCATTATGAGGATATTAATTTTCTTTGGTCATAAATCCAATAGACTTTTGCATTGCAAATGTGGCTAACCACCAGAAAGTTAGAATGGTGATAGCTCTAAAGTTAAGAGGCTCACAGGGATGCATCTATATAGACATATCCCTTTAAAGAGGGGGAATGCACAGAAGAGAGACAGAAACTGCAGAGTCCAACTAAGAAATAATATGGCACCCTGGCTGGTGTGGCTCAGTTGTTTGGGTGTTGTCCTGTGCACCCAAGGGTTGCCAGTTTGATTCCTGGTCAAGGCACATGCTCAGGTTTCATGCCAATGTTTCCCTCTCACATTGATGTTTCTCTCTCCCTCTATCTTCCACTCTCTCTAAAAAGCAATAAAACTATTTTTAAAAAAGAGAAAAAGAAATAATATGGCAAGAATACAGTTTATTGCATTTCTGTAGATGAATTAAATAGCCCCAAAACCTTTAGCGGTGTTTTATCTATCCTCTATGATCTGATTTGGCTGTTTACATAGGAGTTCAATGTTTAGTAAAGCTGTTAGTATAGACACATGCCTAATTTGAGACACTCAGAGGAGATCCATTCATTCATTCATTCATTCATTCACTCACTCAACAATGATCAGGTGCTTACTCTGTCCCAGTTAGTGTGGTTGGTACTGAAGGTACAGAGAGATAAGAAAGATGATCTCTGCCCTCTTGGTAGTGGTGGAAGATTAGTCTTGAGTACTTCTGTCGCATAATTTGAGGCCAAAACACACCAATAATTTGGCCATTTGTCTGTGTGGAAAGTCAGCCACATGATTTTGAGCTCCTTCACCCCCAATGCACATGAAGGCTCATCAATAGCTCTGTTCATGCAGGTTCCTTTAATTATTGATGAATTTTTGGTTAGATAGACACAGCAATAAGTATCAATATAGAAAACGAAAAGTTCTAAGCAACTGGATATTGTTATCAATATTGCAGACATTTCAGGAGCCGGAGGCAGGTGTTCACCTTTTCTATTCTAGCGGGTGACATGGTTGGTCTCAACAGTCTTACCTAAGCTTGAAGGAACTTGTGCTTAATTGGACACTGGAATTTTGGAGGATGCTTGGGATTCTACTTGGAAGGGGGTGTGTGATTTTGATTGGAGCTCCTTTCTTCCTTCCTAATCTTTATACCTTTTCTTGCCTTGTTGCATTAGCTATGGTTCCAGTATGATGTTGAAAAGTAGTGGTGAAAGGGGACATCTCTTTATTCCTAATTTTAGAAGAAAAGCATCAAGCTTCTCATCATTAGGCATGCTATTAGCTGTAAGTTTTGGGGTAGATATTCTTTATCAAGTTGAGGAAGTGCTCCTCTATTTCTAGTTTATCACTATTTTCATAGGCCCAGTTACCAGGTATATGACTAACGGGAGAAGAAGCAGAAAAATAATAACAAGAATATTTCTTGTGAAGATTATTATTATTCTTGTGACCTCCATGTTGCTAAATTCAGTGCTCTGTTCTCAGATCTCATTTAATCCAATTTATTAGCAAGTATTTGAAATAGTGGATCATTCCTTTTCCTTGAAATACTTTCTTCTTTGGTTTTCAGATAGCAAACTCTCCTGGTTTTCTTGACATATTACTGGCTGCTTCTTTTCAGTCTTTTTAGCCAGTTTCTTTTCATATCTCCAACCTGTAGACACTGCGGCACTTTTGGACTCAGCCCTTGTACCTTTTCTCATCTTTATCCATAATCACTCCCTTGGTGAGATCATACAGCTTCATAACTTTAAATACTATCTATCCACTGATGACTGCCAAAGGCAAATCTTTATCTTGGACTTCTTTTCTGCACTCCACATGTATGTTTTGATCAATGTCTTTATTTGGATATCAAATAAGCATCTCAACCTTAATATCTCCAACTGTTTTCCCAAATGTTCATGTATGTTCCAACTTGCCAGGCTAGACCCCGTGGTAGCTCAGGCCACAAAATCAGAGAGCCATCTTTATTCCTCTGTTTTCTCTATATCTCACATTCAAGCCACTGGCAAATCCCACCTTCATAGCTTATATGGACTCCTACTACCTCTCACTATCACATGTGTGCCCAGGCTTATTGCTTCTCACAGGGTGATTGACATAATCTTCAGTCTGCCTCCCTGTGTCTTCCTTTGCCCCATTCAGTCTTTACTTAACACCAGTCAATCATCCATTAAAAACATGTTAGATCATGTCATTTCTATGCTCAATGGTTCTAATGGTTTCCCATCCAACTCAGAGTAAATGTGATACACAGTCTGCCCTCCCCTTTCATTGACCTTGTCCATAGCCACTCTGGCCTCCTGGTTGTCCATCAAACAGGCAGGAAAACTCCTGCCTCACACACTCCCCCACTTGCTCTTTTCTCTGCTGGGAACTCTTTTCCCTCAAATAGCTACATGGCCAGGCCACTCAATTCTTCCAGGCCTAGGATCATAGGTCACCCCCTACTTCTCCCCTAAATCCTCCATGTACTGCTTGTCTCTCTTCCTCACTCCCTTTTCTCCTTAGCAGTCCTCACCACTGAGGTCTTCTCCTGGGTGGATCTGCTGGCTCATAGTCTGTCTCCCTTGCTGGACTAAAGCTCCAGGAGGCAGGCACTATGTTTTCAGTGCTTAGTAGAGTGGGACACATGATTGAATGATTGAATGATTGGATTAAAAGCAGAGGAAAAGAGAGACAGCAATGGGGTGTATTATAAAAGGAAGAGGGATTTAAGCATTTGTTGGTGCAGACACTCAAGCATTCACAGGGGAACCAACCCAGTTTGCCCTCCAGCTATTTCCTCTTGGGGCTTAAATCTGGCACTTGGAGGAAAGAGCATCCTCCTCCTCTGGGGACAGAGGAGGGAGCTCCTGTGGAAATGAAAGGAAGAGGGGAATTAGAGGGATGGAACAGAGAACACCAGCTAGTGTGCCAGACTTGACCTAGCCCTTGGAGTTAGATGGACCTAGGCACAGTGCCACTGTGGCCACCTACCAGCAGTGTGACCTTGGACAGGGTTCTGCTCTAGGGAGCAGGCAATGACTGTAGGGAACTTAAAATCAATAATATAACCAACTAAAAGTTGATCTGCTTTTTATTGTCACTATACACTGCTAGTCATCAAACTCTATGGTGTACTAGTTATCTGGGAGAAATTATTTTACTTCTCTAAGCCTCAGTTTTCTAGTCTGTAAAATGGAATGATCCCTACTTCCCAGTATCTTGAGGATGAAATCTGAAAGCCTTTGGGTGTATACTGTGTGGTTATTGTCATCCATTCACCCCTTCCCCCTGATGTCTTCCCTCTCTCTTTCCCTCTTTTTCTTCTGCCCCTTCTCTCTCTTGCACAACCCTCCCTTCCCTTTGAAGCAGTCATCCCTGTTCCAGCCCAGCACCCCACCCCGTTCCCGCTCCAGCAGGTGTTCATTATCCCATCAGCCATTCTGGGGCTTCCCGAGTCTGGGTTCAGCTTCCTTCAACCCTGACCAGCCGGGTGGGGTGGTGGGTAATTGAGATCAGTCAAGCATAACCCCTGTTCTGGGATGAGCTGACAACATCAGCAGTTTATAATTCTCAGACATTATTTCGCCAGATCGCGCATAACACAACCCTCAGTCATTTTTAGGGGGTGGCAGGTGGGGAGAGGCTGAGGAGTCATCCTGCAAACCCCAGGCTGAAGGTTTTGCTGCTTCCGCAGTTTCTTCTTACTGGTGTCAGTCGGCCTGTAATGTAATCCTGGGGTCTGCTGGCCCCACCAAGCCACAGCACCTCACTTTGCTGCAGTAGTGTGGTTGCTGGCTCATCCCCAAGCTGTGCAGATTTGGAGGGAGGGGCTAACCAGGGTCTGGGAACCCTGGGCTCCCTGTGGCTGTGTGTGTGTGTGTGTGTGTGTGTGTGTGTGTGTGCACGCGAGCAAAGGAGAGTGACAGGGAAATCCCAGATGCTAAGAAGGCTTTGCTAAAAGCCACCTTCTTCAGAGTGTTTCCATTTTGCCGAGAGACAAGTTTGTGCTGGAGAGAGGCCCTCATAGGGAGGTGTTCATGCTGAGACCTGTCCTGTGGGCAGGGAAGCTGGAGTCCCCTGGCAGAAAGAGGGGCCAGTAAGACAGGTTGAGCTAACTCTGCCCTCTCTACCCCTTTGCCCTCTCAGACTGATGACCCTGAGATGGAATCTAAATGCCTCCCAGGAGAGATAAAGCACCCCTCTGGTTCAGACCCATCCCTATCCTCCAGGCGGGATGATTTTTTTTAAGTTTAATCCCAATTCCTCTCATTGTCCACAGAGCTTCACCTGTCCAGGGTAAAATATTGCATCTCATAGAAATCAGGCCAGTTTGCTTCAACAAACCTTTATTGGGCACTGATGTGTGCCCGGCTTTGTATTTAGGTGCTGGGATGGCTGGTGGCCAGCCCTCTTCCTCTGTCAGGCTCAGAGGTCCTAAGTCTCCTTCCTCTGCTTGCAGTCCCATTTCTGAAACCAACCCAAGCTCTGGGTGGGGAGTGGCAGTAAAGGGTGCACCTGAGGCCACTGATGGGGCTGGGATGAGGAAGGGATCCTGGAGAAAGTGCCTCTGGGCGCCAAGGCAGAGAGCACCTGAGGGAGGGGCAGTGGGGAAAGGAAGGACCTTGTTGGGAGAAG